GATGACTAAATGCAATATAATACCCTCAACTGTTTCCTATATCAGAACAGAAAGTTTGCTATCAAGGATAATATTGGGACAAATGACAAAATTAGATAAAAGTAATGTACTAATACTAAATGTCCTGAATTTGATAAGTGTACTTATTTTTGTAAAAGAACATAATTGCTCTGAGGAAATGCAAATTATATTGAATATTAAGGGAGAAAGGCATGATATATACAACCCACTCTCAAATAGTTCAGAACAAAACATATGTGAGCACATGTATAAATAGAAGGATAAAGTGCCAGTAAGATATAAACACTTTGTACATTATCCTTGTAACTTATTTGTAAATGTGAAATATTTATAATTTTTAAAGAGATAATCAGGGAAAACTGAACATGATTCAATTATAATCGCTAGAGTCTATCAGTGATTCTATTCTGAGGTAACAGAATACAATCATTGTTCTGTCAGAAGAGAATCATTGATTCCATGGGTATTCAATGATATCAAGGAATTACTGCTAACTTTGGTGTTGTGTAGTTATTTTATTATGCTTTTTTTAAAGTTCTTACCTCTCCTAGATGTATGAGTTTTTCCCAACGGATTTGCTTTAAAATACTGCAGATGTATACTTTAATGTAACTAGCGATTAAAAATGTGAAGGATTAGGAATTGCACTGGGAGTCAAAAAACAAAAACAAAAAAGGCCAGGCCCTACAAGATTTGATGATGGCTGGTCTTCCAAGTTTTGGAACATTGATAATCATCTTCTGTTAAGTAGCAAAGGTTACTTCTACATACTGGTTGGCTCTCAAAACAAGGATGCCACTGATAGATCTATCTAACTTACTGAGTCTACAAAAAGTCAAAAGTACCTGATAGATAATAACACACAAAACAAGCGCAACTAGTTAATGGAAGAAGGGATAGAAAAATACATTTAGTCACGTTTCACAAACTATGTCAGAGGGAGTTAACGTACTGAGTCTACAAAAAGTTAAAACTACCCACATGCAATTTCAAGAGAATCCAAGTTTTTATATGATTACAACTATGGACAAGCCTAAGAAATCGCGTCCATTCCTCAGCGCTTGATTTATCGTCAAGCTAGTCAAGCACAGGCGTCTCCCGGCGACAACCCAAGGGAACATCCCAAGGGGCCCCAGTGGTGTCCTACGCGTGTTGTGAGCACGGGAGCGGGACGGGAGCCGTAGGGGTCAGGTCTGGGGCCGAAGTCGGGCCCGAACCGGTCACTGCCCGCGCCGGCCCCCGCCCCTGGGGTCCCGGGCTCAGTCAGCCTGCGGACGCGACAGCGTGGGATCGACGCCAGGAGGCTGGGGAAGGCCCAGAGCGGGAAGGACAAGCCAGGAGTCGGCAGAGGGAACGGACGAGGGGCCGGGGCGGCGGAGATGGCGGGAAACGAGAGGGGTCGCGGACAGGCTGGTCAGAGGGTGCATGGGGGGCACCAAGGACGCCCCGGGCCTGGCGACGTCTGGAGGAGGCCTGGGATGTGGAGGGAGGGAACGTGCGGATAGTTTTACCTCCGCTGGGGCCCGAGCCCGTCCGGCGCCGCAGGGAGGACAGCGATGCTGGCAGCTCGGGGTGGGGACGCGAGACCGCCGGCCGCCGGCCCAGCCTGACG